GGGGAGAGACTTGAGGCAAGGAGAGCAAACAGGATTCATATGTATAGCTGTATAAAAGGCACAGTTCAGGTTTCTACACAAAGGTAAAGGAAGCTGTTGTTGACTTTCCTCAACCTACATTTCTACCAAACACATATAAGAATTTACAGAATGTCCTAAGAGACCTTTAATGCCCTCACAATTTAGTATTTGCCTACAAACCTCTACCAATGAATTATGTCTTTAAATGCTGGTGGTTAGTTTTAAATAACAAAGACTAGCAAGGCAGTTCTGACATTTTATAGGATCCCCAAATTCACTTTTGGCCATTGAAGTAACTCATTTGTTTTGGAGGTTCTTCTGCAGAGAAAACATGGAGGTGACAGTCATAGCTGTTTTAACTATTTAAGGAACTACTCTGTAAGAAGGAGATTGGACTTGTCCCCCTTGAACCCAGAAGGAATAACCAGTGATATTCCAGGTAGAAGTGACAAAGGAAGCTTTTGATTTGATTTGAGGGAAATTTTCCTACCAGAGAAATACCAAAATGGAAAGGTCAACCTTAGGAAAAATGTATAAATGCCACCCCCTAGCTCTTCCAGTGAAGGTTGGGGAATCAATTTATTGAGAATGTGGCAGAAGAGATTTCCTGTTCAGAGAAGATTGAACTAAATGTCCCCCTAAAGACTTTTATCACCCCTAAGAATCCACAGTTTTCTTCAAGACTCAGTTGAATTTCTACCTTCTATAGGAAGGCCTTTCCAATGCTCCCAGTTACTAATGCCTTCACCTAAAAAAAGTCTTTTATCAATATTGCATATACTTACATGTGTATATGTTGTGTCCTTTTGGCCAGAGGTTAAGCTTTTTGAGGACAGGGGCTGTTTCAATTTTGTTATATGGGTGGTGCCTAGCATAAAGCTTGGCACATAATAAATCCTTAATGATGCTTCTAATTGACTATTGATTAATTTCTGCTTCTGAAAATTTTATGATTTGGTAAAATTTAAGGGCCTTAAATCAATATTTTTAAAAAGCCATATCAACAAAGTGTTGAAACGATACTTGCATCCTTTTGGAGATTTTTAGACTCCAGGACCAAAGAGTTGGGATAAGAATTTATATCATTGTGGTTCCTTGGAGAGAGTATTGGTTCAAATGTCCAAGGTCCTGAGTTTGAATCCCACCTCCACTATGTCCTTTCATTTCGCTCCCTGGGCCTCAGTTGCCTCATCTTTCAAATGAGTGGATTAGACTAAATTTATTGCTGAAGTCCATGAACCTAGGAATTTAATACCAACTGGTGGTAAGCCATTAAATGGAAAATTCCTATGCCAAAAAGAGATTTTGAGAGATCATGAGGTTAAAAAGTACTTCATAACCCTACATTCATGGATGCTATTTCATCATGTCAACAATCCTTCTGAGCATTTTATACTCTCTATGCAGGGTTGACACATTCATATGTCCTTATGTAGCTGTCAGAAAATTCATTTCAAAGTGAGAATTGTGAGCGCTCTGTTGAGATCTAATCTGTCCAGGCCCAGAGCATGCCAAGAACTATGTAAAGTGGGGGTGCTGCTGAGGGGCTTGGTGCTGTGCCTGTCAGGTGTCGAGTGATTTCTCTCTGCACTGCGGGATTTGGGGCCAGATTCTCTCCTGGGACACTCCTTGATTTTGGAGCCAATGTCCAAAGGCATGAGTCAGCCAACAGAAATGAGCTTTTCCGGCAAAAGAGGGCTTGATTCCAAGGAAGCCCCCAAATACTTGGCTTCAATAAGCCAATGGACTTGTGATTTTTACAGTGTTTTTATAGTAATATTCCTCATAAGTTACATAGAGCATCCAATGATTTTGTCAAGATTTATTGGTAGATAATTACATCTCCTTGGCTCTTGTGAAAGATAGGGCAAGAAGAACCTCATTGGTGCTGAGGCAGGAAATTTGCTGGAAGCCAATTAATTGCATGAGACTCCTTTCTCAACCAATGAGCCGGCATGATGCATCTTATGACTCTCAGGCAATTATCAACAAAGTCAGATTGGTGGGAAGTCAATGTTTCCTGCGTCTCCTATTTCTGACTGTAACATTATTATTATTATTATTAATGCAAAAATCCTCCACTTTGTTGAAAGTACTCTAATTTATTGCTTAATGACTCCAGCCAAGTCCAATCACCCACAAGAGCCAATGTCTCTACAACATCCAAACAACTAAAAGGAATCTAGTTCACCTTCATGAGATTTCCTTTGTTTTCTTATTTACTGGTTTATCAGAAGTAGCTTTTGGTTTCAGAATTATTTGTTATTTGCCTATTAAACCACTAATGGTAACCAACACTTATGAATGGTGACAAAATAAATTTTTCATGGAAGTACTTTTAGAGTTTCATAACTCTCAGGGATGGGCTAGGCTTCTTGGGAGAGGCAGGCTCCTTTTCATTGGAGATCTTTTAAGTCGCTTGTTGGGATAGTTAAATGAGTTGTCTCTTCAGGCACAGAATGGTTGGACAAAATGGCCTTTAACTCCTTCCAGCTAAAATGCTATGAAATCTATATGCTATTCAGAATGTAATTCAATTCAACAAGGTGGGCCAAGCCCTGTGCTAGGCTGGCAATAGGAACACAACAAGAAATACATACTCTCAAGGAACTTACTGCAGGGAAATAATGTGTACAGAGATAAATAAATACAAAAAGAAATCTGAAGGAATTAGGGAAATGCATGAAAATAATTGAATTGAATTAAATTGAATGGCAGCATGAGATGGCAAGAAGAGTACTGGCCTTAGAGTGAGAAGACTTGTGTCCACATTCCTGCTCCAATATTTGCTGGCTCTATAATCAAGGACAAATCCTCCAGCACCCTGAGCCACAGTTTTCTCATCTGTAAAGTGGTGGTAATAATATTTGAAATACGAAGAACTTCACCAAGTTCCTGTGAGGAAAACATTTGGAGAACCCTGAAAACCCAAATATATAATATCTCAAGGATCTTGGATTTCTTTGCTGGGAAACTCTATCTATGAATGCAGATCTCCACCTATACCTAACAGAATAAAGAAAAGAATAATACATTTAGATCTGGAAAGGGCCTTTGAGGCCATCAAGTCCAATATCTTTATTTAAAAATTAGGAAACAGATCCAGAGAGGTAGTGACTTGGCCAAGATCACATGGATAGCAAGTAGAAAGAACAACCTTCAAATCCAGGCTCTCATACCATTCTTAGGAAGTTGCCTCCCACTCAGAGATTTAAGCATCTTGCACATATTCACACACTCCAGTGTCAGAGGCAGGATTTGAACCTAAGTGTTCTTCACTCTAAGTCCAATGCTCTCCCTCTTTCCCACTGCTGCTTCTCTTGTATAGTACATAAATTACTCAAAGTACTATACGCACATATAATATATATATATATATATATATATATATATAATATATATAAATATATATAAATATATATATATATATATATATATCTATATAAATATATATATATATATATGCATACATACATATATATATGTGTTTGTGTGAAGAAACCAATTTGATATCAAAAGAAAAATCAGAGAAAATAAACATAAGGGAATATATACTGGACAATACAGAGTGAAGGAGCCCTTTCATATTGGACTGAAGTAAAACAGCAGCTCCAAGAGAGAAAAGTCCCAGATCTCACTGAAAGAGAAATTTCCCAAATTCTTTCATGTAGCAAACTAGAGATAGGAACATAAAGTTCAACATGTCACCTTGTTCCCAGAGTCTTTCTCCCTCCAGAGCCCTGAAGAAAGGTTGTCCTCACCATCTTTTTTGATGCTTGAGGCTAAAAGAGCCCAGAATCTCTCTTCTCCTGCTTTCACTGATTCTGGCCTGCCCTCATGCCGGCTCATTGGTTGAGAAAGGAGTCTCATGCAATTAATTGGCTCTTTAAGCCAAGAGTTTTATTCCTCCCTGGGACAAGACTGTCTTTTCAGTCCCCTTATAAATATCAGCTGGGGCAAGTTCAAGATGAGCAACTATATAGAGTATACACTATTATTATCGATGAGTTATGATAATTAAAGATACAGAGGACGTAAAATGTAATTCTCACACATTTACTCTGGTTTTGTCCTACATTTTCATTTGGTATTAGTGAATGAATGAATGAATGAATGAATGAATGAATGAATGAATGAATGAGAAGCACTTATTACGTGCTGACTATGTACAGTAGTGGAATATAAATACAAAGAAGCAAGACAGTCCCTGCCCACAAAAATCTAATTTTCCAATAAGGAAAGACAATATATACAAGGAAGCATTAGACAGGGAAGAACCTTTTTGACAGAGAAATGAAAGAAATGATTAGAGCCCCATGAAAATTATTACAACTTTTCCCAGCAATGATAGTGTTGGTTTGGATACTGTTTGTAGAACCAGAGGTGGAAAGGAGGTTGGGGATAAGGGTGTAGAAGGCTATGGAGATGGCATGGAAACAGCATAATCAGACTGGGTGCAGATTATGTGTGCCAAATGCCCAACACAAGCAGCCATGTTTATCGCTTTCCACTGTAAAATGTCTGCATGTGTAACCAAGATGTTTAGACCCTTGGAAAGTAAAGATAATGGGACCCCCCCCCCAGTTCAACTAGGATGTCAGTGATGGTTTGTGTTTGGAGTGCCCAGCTGTGTATACAGATGCAATGAAATTCTGTCTGTGAGGAACCTACAGAAAGAAATGACATGAATAACTAACATTTTAAAAAATGAATAATACACAGACATGCACCTGCTCCTGAGACTCCATAGATTAGCCCTGCAGCCAATATATAAGCCCCTTGGAATTCAATTACATGGCTACAAATGGGGAGATAAAACAGGGCCTTCATTTTAGAACCAATACTAGTGAAACACAGACTCGTTCCCAGTGGAGTTTTTCCTGAGGATTCTCCTGCTTCCCCTGGTTCTCTCTCCATGAGGTTTGTGGGGCATTACTAATGTTGTGCTGCTCATAGACTTTTCCTTTCTCTTCTTGCAGCTGGATCCTGTCTCAGAAGATATTCTGCACCAAACTCCAAATAGAAATGCCATTGCTTCTCTACAAAAGACCACGGAAATTCAAAGTATGTCTTCGGAGTTCATTGGTGATTTTAAGTCCCTCCCTGTCCCCCCATTAATACCAGGTACAGCTATTTAAACACACACAGAGAACTACAGCCCAGGGATTAGGGTGGGCCGCCATTGTGATTTTTGCAGGCTGTTTTATATTTATAGCTAAATTGATTCCTGAGTTCTTTGCTTGGCAATCTCTTATTGATGCCATTGCCAGCCCCATCCCTCACATATTACATTTAGAATCTTCTTTTCCTGATGTTTCAAATCTTTCCATTTTCCACTCCTACCACTGAAGCATTTTGTTACATGGAAGAATGAGGGGAGAATAGAAATGCTCTACCTCTTAAGTGTCCTGACCATTATGAAGAGTAAAGAATTTATCTTCTCACATTACTGAATACCAGCCATCATTTGTCATGCATTCATAACTTACCAACTCCAACGGAGCTGTGATCTCATCAATGTTGGCATTGCCTCCAACAACTCAGAACATAACCCTACTGGTGCATGCCTTTCCTGGGTGACTCTAGGGCTTCTTTTCTGAAAAGCATCAAAGAGATAACCTATGTGAGCACTTTGCAAACCTTAAGGCACCGTACAAATGCCAGCTATTGTTAATAATAGTTGATAGTGGTTATCAGCTACTATTAATGATAAATAAAATGATTAATACTCAAAAAGGATTAACATGTAAAGAAATTTTCAAACCTTAAAGCTTTATATTTGTATGTATATACCTATGTGTGTATATGTGCATGCTGGGCATTATTAAAAATAATTAGTAGTTATTATTAGCTATTACTAATGATTAATATTTTCAATAATTAATTCTAAAAAAAGGATGAACATATAAACAATTTGAAAACCTTGGACTATTATATAAATACAATCTATTATCCTCATAACTCTGAAAGGCAGATGCTATTATCTGCATTTTATAGGTAAATGGAAAAACTGAGGCAGAGGTAACTTGATTAAGGTCCAACAGCTAGAAAGTGTTTGAGGGTAGATTTGAAGGTCTTCCTGACTCCAAATCCAGCATTCTATTCAATCTACCAGCTAGTTGTTTATTTTATGAATAATTTATTGTTTTATTCATAATTTTAGTATTGTTTATTAATGCTTAGGGATTTTAATATCATTATTAAGCTTACCATAAAGGTCCACCAAATGTGTTCTGCAGGAGCAAAAAAAAAAATTCAACAGTATGCTATCATTAGTTAACCAAACATATTAGAGATCAGAATTTTGGGGTTCCCTTTTCTGTTTAATATCCATCTCTTTACAATGCAGTTGCCCTGTCTCCAAAAATAAAGCAATTTTGATTTTTGAAAAAGTTAACAAGCTCAAAACTGTGATGTTAGAGTTCTAAATCTTAAGCTGCATAAAGAAGTGAGTAGATATTATCTATCACTTGGAAAGTTCCAAGAAGGCAAGCACTGTGGCTTATTGAAATTGTGTATGTCCTCAAAAGCCATCCCAGTGCTCTGAACACACTACAGTCTTAATGAATTAAATTTAATTAGTGACAAAGTAGTGCTGAGAATTTGGGTCTCCCACCTCCCATCCTAGTCTGATGGCCATTTCATCTCTTCCCAAACTCAACTGTCCTAGGACCCTCTGCCATATTATCATTGTGGAATTATTCTCAGGGAATAGTAAGTTGGCTGGGCTAATGAGGAAGTTGATGTTGCCAAAACAAACAAACACATCTACCCACCACCCAAACAAGTTTCATGTATCTGGGAGTCACTCCTATCCTGAAGCTCTGTTTCATATCAGATATAGCCCCTTCATGTGTGCCCTCCTCCCATCCCATCTCTTACCTAATCTAAGGCAGCTTGAAAGGTCAGTGCATAGAGTGCTAGCCTGGAGTCAGGAGGACCTGAGTTCAAATCCAGTCTCAGACACTTACTAGCTGTGGGATCTTGTGCAAGTCATTTAACCTCTGCCTCAGTTTCCTCAACTGTAAAATGGGGATAAAAACAATACTTCTCAGAGTTGTAAGGACTAAGTAATTATTAAGGATTTAGCACAGTGCCTGGCACATAAGAGCTATATAAATGTTAGCTCTTATTATTTATTCTTGTTTTCATTTACCACTCACTATGCTTGACTTCTAAAGTCTGGTTTTATGACTGGAGACTTGAAGGGGAAGGGAGCTTGAAAATCTCGCATTCAGCATTCTTATTTTAAAGATGAGAAAACAGGGACCAAGAGAAAGTCAATGACCTGAGCAGATCCCATGAGGAACAAGCCAAAATGAAATTGGAAGCCATGATTCCAGTATAGAGCTCTTTCTACTGTGCTGTCATGTTATCTTTTTATATCTTTGTATCCCAAACCAAGGTGGATCAAACCAATCAGAAAGAATTCATTGAGTACCAAATAAATATATGCCAAGCAATGGCCTAGGTGCTGGTAATAAAAAGACCAAAGTCAAATGCTACCTGTCCTCAAGGAGCTTACATTCTTTTGGGGAGATAATATGTATGTCAATAACTAAATACCAATATATTAAAAGAAGTATTTTGGGTATCAGGGAGGGTACCAGCAGTTGGGGGAATCAGGAAAAGCCTTCTGTATGTTGTTGGGGCCAAATAGTGCAAATGCCCCATTTTATAGCTGAGGAAATGAAGACCTGGGGATTTTCCCAAGAGCACACTCATAACCAAGGTGGGGAGGGTTCCAAGCCAGGTCCTCTGATTACGAAATCAGTGCTCTTTCTAATGGAACTACATGATCTTCCAGTTAGGGTGTGTAGGATTTATGATTTGTTGTTACTTCTTTAAGATCTTAGACCAACTCTCAATGCTTTGGCTCTGGCTACTGAAGTTACATTTCGTTTACCAGCAGAGTTTTCCTTTCACTATGAGTCCTCCACCCCCACACATATATCCCCCACTCTATGCCTCCTTTAAGTCTTAGGAGGTGTTCCGGTTTCAGCTCCCCACCCCATCTCCAGCTGGGTTCTGAAGAGGTTCTTTTGTGCTATCTGAAAACTATGAGAATGTGCTGAGGCAGGCCCCAAAGCATGTGGGAACCATTCAGTGGGGTTCCCATAGAGCTGAGTCCCCAGGCACACAGTGAGGTGCTGACAGGCTGTAAGTAAGTTTTGGTTGGAGGGGGGAGCCCCCCAGCTGAGGGTGTGCAGGTGCCTGAGTCCCTCATTAGCATTGGCCCCTTGCCTGGCAGCTGCCTGTGCTCATGTGCCCTATGGCAGCATCACCCCTTTCCTTCTGACCCTTTTCTATTTCTGAGCTTAGCTGAGGTAAGGAGATCATACAAGTAAATGAAGTGGAATCCAAGTCATTGTATGGTTATCAGCTTAGCCTGTTTTATAGAAGCCTACAAGTGACAAGGTTCAGGAGGTCCTAAAGCACAAGGAGGTGAAGTAAAGAATGATCATGGAACTGTCTTTTTCCTGTATTTGCTACCTCCTTGGTGGCTTCTTAGCTTGTCTAAAGTGACCTCACTTCTGGCCAGTCAGTGGGGCCCTAGGATCTGACCAGGGTCAAACCAGACAGTCAGGAAAAATGGGATAATTCAAGTCCTAGCTTCTTCCCAAAATTCTTGGGGTATGTAATTTCCAAGTTAATAAGCAGGAATTTCTTTGAGGAGCAGCTTTTTTTTTTCTACTAAGCTGGCAGACAGTAATTCACAAAACATGTAATAGCTATTCGTGTTTTATCCATAGTCATATACAGGCAGCTAAGCATGTGGGAGCCTTACCAGGCTGGGGCACCTGATTGCTTGTTAATACTTGACAGAAATAGGAAAAATGGCCACCTTTTACTATCTACCTCACAAGGTTCTTGAAAGGCTCAAATCCAATAACATTTAAAAAATGCTATATCACATTTCAGAACAAGAATAATGGATGCCCCCATTATTCTTAAAATGCAAGCAAGCCCCAAACTCCATAAGAATCCTTGTTTCTACCCCCTTCAGAAAGATGTATATTTATATAGCCTTTTTGACCTAGAGATGTTTTCCTTAAATATTTTTACACTCTACCAACCTTCAATGTAGATGTGAGTTTGCTGAGCTGATTTCATAGACTCATATTAAAAGAAGGGATGGTGGGAAGGAAGGAAGGAAGGAAGGAAGGAAGGAAGGAAGGAAGGAAGGAAGGAAGGAAGGAAGGAAGGAAGGAAGGAAGGAAGGAGGAAGGAAGGAAGGAAGGAAGGAAGGAGGAAGGAAGGAAGGAAGGAAGGAAGGAAGAAGGAAGGAAGGAAGGAAGGAAGGAAGGAAGGAAGGAAGGAAGGAAGGAAGGAAGGAAGGAAGGAAAGATGGGAAGAAAGGAGGAAGGAAGAAAGGAAGGAAAGAAATAGGAAGGAGGGAGGAAGGAAGGCAGGAAGGAAATGAGGAAATGAACATTTCTTCATCACTGTGTGTCAGGCCCTCTGGTAAGTGATTTGCAGATGCCTCATTTGATCCTCACAACAACCCTGGAAGAAGGCACTATCATTATTCCCATTTTATACTTGAGCAGATGGAGTCAATTGGAATATCCAGATGCTCTCCCACCCATCTACAAGCACTGGACTTACAAATGACCTCTACCTATCCCCTTTTACTCTCTGTCCCACTACCTTCTATTGATTGCCTTTCTCTCACTCTGTACTGCCACGGACACTCCTCTAGAAAGGCTATGTGGCACAGTGAACAAAGTCATGAAGCTGGAGTCAGGAAGATATGAGTATGAATCTTGCCTCTCAGACTTACTAGCTATGTGATCATATCCAAGTAATTTCATCGGTCTCAGATTCAGTTTCATCATCTATAACATGGTGACACCAGTGCCTGTAGGGCTGGTGTGAGGAGAAGATAAAATAATGTAGGTAAAGTACTTTGCTAACTGGAAAGCTATACTTTTTGGCACTCAACAGTCAGCGCTTTGTCTATTTTTGTTGCTCTGGGAGCCACTAGGGTCCATACCTAGCTCCCTCTTGGCCCTAGTACATTTCACCTGTCATCCTCCCCCATTATAGACTTTACCAGTCTG